TCTGATCTACAGTTGTATCTGCAGTATCTACAATACCGCAAATAGAATGAACCGTTATTAGTGCAAGAATTAGCTCAGTTTTTTCAAGAATATTTTAAGCTGTATGACTGCTGTCGAGCGTTGGCTGGGTTGTATTGTTGTTCTGCCAACATGCCTGTCGTCAAGAGTTGTATCACCCTCATTTTTCGTTGACAGTTTAGAAAGACTGTGTGCCTTGAGGATGGAGCTGACGCCTCATTTAAGGCATACTTCCTAACGAGTATCTACTGAATGAGGTCATGTTTACTACAAATGTGTGTTTTGCGTATTGATGTCATGTATAGTGGGCTATTGCTTAGAGCAGGTCGCCTACTAATTGGAGGATCGGCGGTTTGATCCCCGACTTCCCTGAGTCCGCATGTCTAAGTGTCCTTGGGCAAGATTTTGAATCCCAAATTGCTCCCGAAGGCTGTGCCATCAGTGTGTGTGAATTAATACTTTCTATTTCTGATGAACAGAGGCCTTCCTTAAAGCATTCCTCGGAGGTGAGATACACTGCTCATACTAACAAGGCACGGAAGAGACGACACTGCACGCCTTTAGACACAACGGCTCATCTAAACCGCAGAAGCTTCTGTCCCCTGAGACTTGGCCTCCAGACTGAGTTCAATCTTTTGTCCAGTAGGCTTGCAGAATAGAAGCTGCTTAAAGCTCGGGGAACATTGCATGAAAAATGGGGAAAAGGCAGATTGCTTTCTACAAATTTCTCAAATAGCCAGTAATCCAGGTTCACTGACAATTAACTCCTCTGGATTTACTGAGACTTTCAGAGCCTATTATTCTGATCTGTACATATCTGAATCACCTGATGATGATGTGGACATGTTAAATTTCTTCAAGTGGCTCAATGTTCGTCATGCCCTCTGCTTCTGCTTAGTGGCGAGCTGTCTTTCCCTCCTCCTTTCCCCGTATGTGTTTGTGATTTGATTGCTTGTGAGTGGAGTCAGGTGTGCAGGAGTCGAGCCACCCGCCTATCATCACCAATCAGGTCTCTTTCATATGCCTGGTTCCTGCCAACACACAGCCAGATTGTAGACCCTCAGTCAGTCTTTATATGTTTTGTATCAACATTGCTCAATCCTTGACTCATGTGCCTTGCAGTCTAGCTCCGCCTGGATCCTGCCTCTGCTCCGCTCCTGTCACGTCTGGACTCCGGACCTCAGTCTCTGGATTAGTGGATGCTTTGTAGGGCTGGACATCTGACTTCACTGCTTGTTCCTCTGCCTGGCTCGGCTCACTCCTAACTCTCTGAACCACTTGGACTTACCTAACCCCCATAAACGCTGCTCACCGTACATTAAGTATTCTGTTAATAAATTATTTTATATTCAAATACTATAATACTATCCACGGGTACTGTGATCAGCATTTGGGTTCAAACCGAGGTCCAGCCTTAACAATGTTCCCTAATTATCTGTGGAATAACACAAAAAATTGGAGGCACCATTCAATTCAATGATAAATAACAGATACCATCCAGCTAAGCCATAAAGCAAGGTCGTGTGTGGTCATCTATTCTTCACATTAAAGCAATATGAGTTGAGAGAGAACTTAACATCCTGGATACATTTACTGTCTTCCCTACAGGCCAATGTACAATATGTACCAGCAATCAGTTCTTTTTTTTCCCACGCAGGACACGCCAAGGATGCCTGATTTCCTTTCTCCTTTTAGCGACTGTAAAGCTGATGATACACAGAGCAACTTTTAGAGCAATCGTGCAGGGCAACGTTGCCATCAGTGGTAATGAGTAAAGATTACTACCGTAATCCCCTTCCCCCACCACCCGCCCACGCACCACCGCTATCTGTTGGAAACATAGTTGGACTTTCCATTAGCAACATTGCTCAAAAAGTTGCCCTGTGTATCATCAGCTTTATTGAACCCTATAAATTGCTCTTAAAGCTAATTAGCGTTGTTGAGGTATCAAAATTAGTAATATTTTTTATTAAATCAAAATTGTATTGTATATTCAGTTAGTCCAGGGAATACCATAATCTAGTATCCCATAGGTTTAAATATTTAGCTCCAGCCATTTGCTACATGAGGAAATTGTCCAGCTCTATCAACTAAAGGGAAAACTGATCTGCAGAGATGGAACATCCCACTTCTCTCTCTCTCTAGCTGGTAGAGTACAATCCATTAATATTAACGTGCTCCTATCTATTTCAATGTTTACCCATAATTTTACCTTAACACTTACTTATATTTTCCATAATTTCCAATTTTATATGGGGTTGTAAAACCCCCAAGAATTCACAAAGCTCTGCTCCAGAGGGGGAGGTCACAGAGAGGACTCAGCCAACCAAATATTGAGTCATATTATGACATATTATGGCAGCTAAAATGCGTAAAATTGTGCTCTGGATCTCGGGTTACAGATAATAGTTGGATCCAGCTAGAAAGTAACTCCATGTCTAATTCATTTTTATTAGTCAGTTGCGTACTTATTTTTTTATTCCAACTTTCCTAATGTTTTTTTTAACTCACATGTATTATTCATGTGTTGTATATGTATATAGTTGTATACAAGAGGGTAACATGGTTGCAGATCTAGCAATGTACAGGTTCATACATGTTGGACTGTGACCTTGTGGGCTGCTGTGCATAAGGTTGACATGTTGATTTTGTACATCACCAACTGCCCATTCCCTTTATTAATTTCTTCTTATTTTATTGTATTTAAGTTGTACAATTAATTGTACTGTGTACTATAATTGTTGCTATTTTATTTATTTATCATTACTTTGTTTTTGTGAGAAGGGGGGGGATTGTTGGGAGGCTAATGGGAGAAGTTAAAAACAAAAACTTAGCTGGAGAACTTAAATGAGTAATAAGAATAGGGTATATTATATCCATAAATCAGTCAATTCCTGTTCTCACTTAACATTTCCATCTCACATTGGTTCTGTTTTGCTGTAAGAAGATTAAACATGGTATTATTTGTGTATCTGTGTTTGTGTATTGTGTTGTGTAATGCATTACTGGCCATATTCTGTACTTTGTAACCCCTAGAGTGCAGAATCGGTTCTGTTTATGTGTGTGGGTGGTGTTAGTTTGTTTAGAGTTGTGTGTGTGTGTGTGTGTGTGTGTGTGTTGGAGGAATTTAAAGCAGGATTTCATGTTGGTGGAACATTTACAGCCCTCTTTAACTAGATATCTGTCAGTCAGTCACGCTGGCTATCACTCACAGGTGTCAGATGTAACCGTTCTACCGAAATCCACCTCTGGATTTAGACAAGAAGTACTCATGGGTTTGATGGTTGAAAAAACATTTTAATAAGCCTGATAGACCTGACGCAGAATCAGAGCAGTCTGGTAGCTCCTACTTGAATCTCTCTCTATATTGCTGCTGTGATTAAATGTTGTCTACGTATAAGCCTGTTTTGGAGAGCCATGTCCCAGAAAGATCTTACATTTTGCTACAGACCCCCCAGAGCGTCACATATAGAAAATCTTTTCAGAACTACATTCAATTTTATTCTCATTCCCTATGATACATAGTAACAGATAGTCTGTTGTTCCAGTCCAGTTATAAAACACTGGCAGTTTAGGGAAAGGAGAGATGATGTGACACTTGACATTTACTGCTCATTATTCCTTTCAAAAGGCCGTGCTTCGACTGTATTCAGCCACTGGCCGTGAGCAGAACTGCAGCTGCTCTGCCTGACTGTGCTGGATGAAGCTGATTTACTGCTCGTACTACGGCTGCATCTGTGGTTGAATCTGCGATGCTATGGATGGATAATTATGGTAGCTGTACTATGACTACTCTCCTTTTAACTAATTAGCCAAGAGAGCATCATTAAGCTACACAACAACGCTTCTATCGAATATGACAGATGTGTTACCAGTAGCTTCACTACAACGCCCGGTGGGCACAACCATGTCGATTCACTGCACACATACAACACGTGCATGTAGTTAGTGTTACAGTCAAACTAATGTCGTCACAGACATAATCATTACAATGGTATGATGTGAGGTGATAGTAGCTATCACAGTAACTGCCAAAGCTGTCATCCCTATAGTCATATGCCCAAGAGATGGGCCATGGGGTTTAGTAACTGTGGTGTAAATAACTTTGGTACAGCATACTGCAATTTATTATATATATATATTATTTTGGGGAGGGTGTTCATCTACTAGTGTAATGTGTATTCCTGTACTGTGTACTCCCTTGATTTAAAAGATGTGCATCTTTCCTTAACTGTTTTCCTCCTAACTGACGTTTCTTCCAACTCCCTGCATTTGCCTTCTTCCACTGACATCATATTTACATTGAATTCTGCTGGCAGTCAGTGTGGCATACTGTCTTTCCTGCGTGTGATATCGTTTTTACTTTTAAGTGTTGCTTGTTTGCACTGATTGTCAATGCAACATGAAAGATAAGACTGACTTTTGACTGACTTTTTAAAAGTGTCAGCTGTTAGTTTCCCTTTTGCCTCTGAGCCAAACAAAAACAACACTACAGCAACTCCAGCATCCAGCAACTACTGACCTGCAGTCCCAAGCATCTGAAAGAGGGATGAACAGAGCAGATGTCCTAGAGAGGAAGACGGGAGCATAGGAGAGCAGAGAGGAGAGTGGTCTACAGGCTTGACAACTTGCAGCCCACTGATTGGTTGAGCAATTACATGCAAATTTCAGAGAGAACTTAGCCCTTCCCACAGGACCATCATGCGAAGACATCCACTTTCCTGACTGAAACACATCACAGTATTGCTTTCTGATTGTTCTGCATCTGTTTTTTTTTGTGTTATGTAAAACGAATCCGACATAATTCCATTAACTCAATTTGCACACTGTTTGATTAGTGTTGTTCCAAATAAAATAATTTCTGCGTCCTCTCTTTTTCATCTGGCTTTGTGTGACGGCTTTTTTTCTTTTTTTTTTAACAATCAGTGACACACAACTGTGCCCTTTTCATCTTTACAAACCCCCTCCCCCCTCCTTCTTACCTCCTGCAAACGCTGGATGTGTTCTCTGCAGGTTTCTAAGTCGCTGTCACCGTGAACCACGATCAGTCCCATAGGAATGGCTGCAGATACAGAGGAACAAGACAATTATCCAACAGCACTTTGATATCTACTTATACAGTGGTGCTCAACTCAAGCCCTTAGGCCACTGTGAGTGCTGCTAGTTTTAATTCTGGTCACTTAGCAGGGACGGAGGTAGACCCGGGACTCCAGATGAATGTAATTAAATATATGGTAGTCTGGTGAACCAGCCTGACTGCTACATCAAGTGTTTTGGGGCACAATAACACAGCTGAATTAGTTTTGAGATAAGAGAAAATGCTGGAAGTTATACTGGAATATTTGCTGAGAACATACTCTTTGTGACAGACAGAAACAGCTTATAGGTAAGGTCACACCGGGTCGTTTAAAGTCTTTTAGGGCAAATTACAAGTCAAGGGAGACTTAAAGTTGTGTGTTTTACATGGGTTACGGTTACGGTGTAGCTTTAGAGCCTCCTCAAAAAGGACAACGTCCACCACAGAGATACCCTTTGGAGACCACAAGAACTGTGATTGGTCAGCATGGGTTACTTGTGTTTTTGATGCCAGTGGATTGCTACTAATGAAAAACAATCAAGTTGAAAACGACACAGTAATCCGTGGCTTTTCCCTAACATACCGGAGAAAAGACATCTCCACTGCCAACCTTCTGCCCACTGTAACTGTGCTGTATCATAGTGAATAAAAGAACATAAAAACGTTGATTGTGCAGCAGTCATCTCCTATTCAGAGATGAGACGAGGTGAATAGGAACTCCAGTGCTTCTATAGCCCACCGCCGCTCAATATCACAAAAAAATGAAAGAGAATTTCTGTGTGGTAATATAATTAAGGCGCAATACAGCCAAATCACAGGCGACACATTTGCTCCACATCTGACACTTAACGTGCCAAAATTCATACTTGATGTTGGCATTTGTCTTTTATTTTTTTAAATGAGCCTGACCAAGCTGGCCCGTCATCAGTAAGCCGACGTACGTCGTTGAAACAGTAAAGGCTGCTCCCTGAGGCGGCGCAGGTTTGCCTCCCGCTGCACCAACACAACACTGCTGGCTGTACATCACACAGCTCATTGTGCTGGGAGAGCTGTCAAACCGAGCGAGGAGCTCCTGAACCCACCCACACAGACACAAACACACACCTCTCATTGACACTAAATACCTCAATGAAGAAGACAAAGCAAGCAAAAGAAACTTCAACTAACAGAGACCAAGTCAGATCTTGGCGGATCCTAGAAAAGTGTAGCCTGTTCACTTCTGGGCAAATTCACTACTCTTCAAACATTCCTCACACATAACAGGCAGGAAGAGCAGAGGAGGTTATTAACCATCTTCAAACAACCACCACAACATTGCTTTCAAATAACAACTATTGCATTTTTTTCATAGACTCTTTGAGGATGCTCCCTTTTTTAACTGACCTTTTCAAGTAGCAGACAAGTAGCAACTGATTGGTTGCTGTGCATGGTGCACCATGCTCTGTTGTGCATGTGATAGATAGCTCATGTGTTCAGGATTTTTGTAACCACACAACAGAATGTGGAAAAAAGGCAAATGGGCTGAACAATTTCCAAAGACATTATACATATTAGAGCTAATTAGAACAACAAGTTGATTATTTGATTAGTCAATTAGTGATAACAACAGGCAAACGTTTTGAAAGCAGATTAATGAAGTCACGTGTCATTAAATAATGCCAAACCTTCTCGGGTTCCAGCTTCTCAAATGTGAGGATGGATGTTTGTCTTTGTTTTATATAATTGTAAATGAAATACATGTGCAATACAACAGTTAATGTGCAGCATGTCAATGTATTTACATAAAAGCTAATGTGCACACAAACTACACACAGTAACTTTACATTATGCCACACTTCTGCATCTATTCTCATTATCATCATTTTACATTATAACTCACTATATTAGCCAGTACAGCATTTATAACTAATTGTATTGTAATAGCTTTGTTGTTGGAAATTGGACATTTGGTCTTGTCATATCTTGTTATTTTTATATCTCTGAATGACTTGGCCCCTGATTAAAAAAGAAGCTCGTCAGAAACAATAATTTAACTTAAGGCTCTCTGAAATCACTTGTTGGTCTGCCAAAACAAGTAATTTATCACCTGAGCATCGAACTATATTATTGTAATTTATTTAATAGTATCTTACATGATAGTTTTTGTATAGTTATACCTGTACGGTTAAAGGTTAACAGCAACAATCTCTTTTTTCTATCCATTTTCAGGGTAAAATAGAGAGCCAATGTGAGAGAAATGGCATTGAGATGATATAACCACTGTGCCTCTGGGTATGAGGCATATTTTTACCATCTCCCCAAGTGTGACACATCCACAAGTTGATAGCAGTGATTGATTTGCATAATGAGAAAACAACTCAAACTTCAGAGAGCAAGAACAAAGGATGAGCTATAAAAAAGAATGGAGATTTTTAAATTTTACCAATAGAGGAAACATTTTGGGATTAAATTTGATATATTTCATTTTTTTGATACATTTTAATATGAATGAGTATGAAACACGAAGACATTTTCCCATGATGGATTAGGTTTTAGTCCCTGTACAGTACATACAAATGATATGTAAAACACAGAAACAAAAAGAACCTTTTCTGCATTGACATCAATTTAAATAGTTACAGTGTTGTAAAAGGTAACAGCGCCACCATGTGTCCAAACTTTGTCAAAAGTTAACATGAACTAAGAGAGTGAGAGAATAAACAGATACGAGGAGCTTTCCCTTTCTATATTCCTGAAACATCAGCGATTCAAGCGCTGCTCACCGTTGAGCATTCTATGTAAGTTAAAGTCATCTTTCATACGTACACAGACACACACAGCAGTGAGGAATGAGAAACAGTGGGAAACTATCTTTTTGACCCTCACATCACTGCTCCACCTTCTAATCATCAACTGATTTTATTACCACTTCAGCCTGAAGATGCTGTTGTCACTTAGGAAGGCTACATCAACCTGCAGCTTCATGACCCTCTTAACAGACATCTTAATCACATACTGACAAGCAAGAAGCAGAAAATTGGATCAGATAAGACGAAATCATCTTTACAGAAAATAAGATTGACATTTAAAATACAAGTGTTTGTATTTTTCATGTATTTAAGCCTATTGCTTTTTGTTTTTGTTTTGCACAGCATACATTTCCTGATTTTTTTTATTATGAATTATACACCATTTAAAGGCCATAACTTCCACACACTTAGTCAGATTCAAGCAAAAACTGGCACATACATTCCCTGGTTTGTATAAGTATATGTAATTTTGACTATATGTCCATATTTTGTTATTTTGCTTATATTTGATAAACATTTTGTCCACAAATATTTTGATAATTCACAATAAGGGAAGCACGTCATGGCTTGAGATACACTAGGTAATAGTTTCCACGAATTGAATAAACTGTATGGCTGCTTTGAGCAAATCAACTTTCTGTGAACATGGCATAACAAAAACATTGGTTTGAATCTATAATTATTATCATTAACACTGTATGTTTGTTCATGAGAAACTCTTGCGTGAAGTCTGGTTATGACTGTTCGGTGCCTGTGAAAGCAAAACACATGTAATGTGATAATGTTAGCGTGCGTGTGCGTGTGTGCGTTTCCTTACATGCTTGTCGTAGTTTCTCTTTGTCATAGTGCAGAGCCTCATAGTCAGCCATACTGATCCTGTTGACCCTGATCCTCAGCTTGTCTGGCACTGGCTGCTGACTGAGACACAAACAAGACCAGACCACTTTTAGCAGATTAATTATTATAAGTTATAGCTTTTCATGTCCATCTAAAGGCTCACCTGTTGGAAAGTAAATGTCACACACGATAACGCTACTTACCATGGCCATGAAAGAAGAAAGTATTACTGACTTGAGCGGACTAAAGGTGTGTAAATGTAAAACTTACTCATTGAGGTGTGGTATCGAGGTCCGTCGTTTGGTTTTCTGAACCATGTTTGCCTGGTTTCTGAGGCTGATGCGGATGACAGAGGGAGCAAGTCTGCATGGTTCACCATCCACCTAACATCAATACAAAACAACCAATCAATCACACAAAGTAAATTCTCAAACAGGCCTTTATTTGAAGCAGGCTTGTATTAGAGACGGGTCTTTGTAAGTGTATTGGGTCGTATCAAGCCTCCTTGTTTTCTGACCTGCCCCGTTTGTATATGGAACAGTATGAATGTTAACAACTGTGGTGCTACAAAGCAGTACAGTGACAGGTATATGTACAGTATGTACCTGTACAGGAAGAGGTTTCGTAGTGGTGAGGGTGACTTCTCTGCACTGGTTCAACCTTTCGCCATGACCTCCAACCTGCAGAGTAGCCTACACACATACGCACACACACACACACACACGCACAAACACACACGTCAACATTTCAGTTTGCTGGAGTAATGACTAATTTCTATGACTTCATTAAATACTGTGTATTTCTACCATTTCCTTGTGGCATCGTATCGTGCGACAGATGGATGATTCTTTTTCTATGCTTTTAACTTACGATGGTAGTTTTTAATTACTGGGTCCAATTAAAACTGTACTGTCTGTATGCAATATAATGACATTTATGTGCGACAGCATCTGTTTTCTCTGAAAGATAAGTCTTTTGTCATATTTGAAATACGTAAAATAATAATTTAACTCTGCTCTGCTGTTCTTTCCAAAATCCTCAAACATTCATCTGACCGTCTGTCCAGCTGCACATTAAAAGACTTTTTGTATGTGTGTTGTGACTCAAAAGATGTAGCTGGAAATAACATAAAAGATCTCATTGGTTGTTTTGCACAAGAAAATATTTACATTATTTTGTATGAGAATATAAAATATGGAAGGTCATGTCAATATCTCAAACGTCATACAACTCAAGATAATATGACAGTTCCAGCTACCATCATTCTTTGGACTAGCAACTGCTTAAAATCTTTTTATTGAACAGAAAACTTTTTTTTGAGTTAGAAAGAAGCTTCTGGAAATATTGTTTAAATTGAACTAAACCTAAACTTACCTTAGGCACAAACACTGTAAATTATTATTATAAAGAGTAATAATACTAATCATCACAACCGACACCCCTTGTAAGATCACATTCATATTTATAGAAAGACAGACTCTCTACCAGTATACTGCGAGCTCCATACCAGTGAAGTCATAGTGAATCCAATGACCTCGATGTATCCATCATCGTGGCGTTGAGGTTCAAAGTCGCGATGCTCACTGGGGTTTCCCCAAGGTGTAGTGCCTGCACAGTACCTGAAGAACACAACATGCACTGTCAGAGATACTTATGTCAAGATGCTGACAATTTATAGCGTGTGGTTGTACAGATAGATTTGGTGGAAAAGGCCCTGCTGCTTAAGGGAGCTCTCAAAGAATCCAAACATACAAGGACTCTGCTGAGAGGCCTGATTCCCCAAACAAGAATTATTTGCTTAATATGTATTAGCAGATCCTCGAGCCGCCATCCTGAATCTAACAAACCACCGAAACCACAAGCAATTAGCTCAACCGCTACAAAACTTATTCTGGATTAATACACAGGAGGATCTGTATCAGGGCTTTATGGGTATACTTTAATGGATTGGTTCAAATAAAACTGTGTGTAAATGTGTAGTCCACCTCACCTTAAAGTGTTCAAATGGGAAAAATTATTTGGGCGCCTACTGAGTGACACTGAGAGGCTGGCAAAATGCACATATTGGCTTAAATTCACTGAACAAACCACACATATACATATTCTTTCCACCAACATGCACAGATTTTTAGTCTCTGTCAATCAGGAAGGAAAATAAACATTACAATTTAGTAAATACATTAGCATGACATGTCAAGGTAATTTCACACTTCTGGATGTTGTGTAATAAGGGGTAACCTCTTTCAGCACGATTTTGGGTTGAAAGTAGTATCAGTAACAGTAGTGGCAGTGTCACCTGGGGATGTTGAGGAAGACCAGACACTGCAGCTTCAAGTCCTGGACCTTGGATGTTATATCTGTCCCGTCGCACTGGAGACGGAGAGAGACAGAGAGAGACTGATTTGATTGCATTTTAAAACACATTTATTTCTTCATAAACAAGGACATGCAAGACAAGACATGATAACCAGACTACGCAGTAGAACAATGATTAAAAAGTATTAAAGATGTCTCATAGAAACAGAGGGTTAAAGCACAGCTCCCCCTCACCAACAGAACAGATGGCTCCAGTGAAGCACCACTGAGACATACTGTAGAGTCACTGAGTAAAACTCAAACATTGGAAACTTTATTTTTCTACTTTTATAAATGGACATTTTGGCCACTTTTTTGCATCGTTATTCCACAGGAAACAGTGAAAAATAGTTTGTGTGGCCCGACAGTCGGGTTTTAGAAACAAAGCTGTTGACAGCCTGTGGAATCACCACAGTGGTGAAAAATCCCCCCACACTAGTTAACAATCATCCTGCACATTCATCCTCTCTCTCCAAGCAGTATGTTTTGACAGAGAGAGGGAAACAGACCGAGAGAGAGAGAGAGAGAGAGAGAGAGATGGAGCGACTCAGTGTTTCCACAACAATAACTGACTGCTTGATTGACAGGGACTCACCACCACTTTGATGTGCTTAGACAGGTCTTTGGAGCTTCGCATCAGGAAATCGGAGAATGCTGTCTGTATAAGACACACACAGACAGGCAAACAGGTCAGCAGGATTCTCTCAGAGGAGCACATTGTGAAAACCCACAGTAGGATGGAGCTTTCTTCCACTGCCTCTGGCAAAGTCAGAGACAGAGTGTTCTCAAATAACAGTCTTCTTCACAGCAAACATATTTAAGTGTGTCCTTTATCACGCTTCTATAGAGCAGCCCGACCTGAGTCATTTAATGTCTTCTAAATAAAATGGAGCCTGAAGACCAACACCTGTTACACATCCTGGAAGGCAACTGGTGTGATATAACGGAGAGCCCCAGAACATTTTAGCAGCACAGCTGGTATGATAATAATACTAGAAGTCTCCTTTGCTTTAGTTTCTCAGCGTACAGTCGTTTAGCTTCTGTACTTTAACTCTCTGAACGCTTCAACTGTCTTGAGTTTGGCTGGAGACCAGGGTGTGTCATTGTTACAGCTCACCCTACTGCGTGATGGTACCTAGCAGTCCAAGCACGCACAAAGATCCTCTATATCCACTGTTTTTGGATACATTTACAAAAGGTTTAGAGAGCTTTAATTTCTGCTTTTATGCAGGAACTAGGGGTCCATGATGTGGTCAGAGTGAAGGATGGTGTGAAAGACACTGCTGACTGTACCAATGATCCAAAATATTCTCCTCTCTGGTTGGGAATTAAATAAACTGTCTGTATTTGGTAATGTCTGAGATTAAATCTGAATAAAGAAGAAAAAGAAGAAAAAACAACACTCAGTGAAATATGATTTACTTCTGAGTTTAAGATACATGATGTGAATACGGACATCCCAGAAAGGTGACAGTGAGAAACCTGTGAAAAGACTGTTGCAACTGGTGTTTGTATGACAGTGGAGAATATTTGACTTGGGTTACTGACAAATGAAATGTTTCAGAAAAAGTAATTGAGACAAATTAATTTAATAAAGATATTCAGCCCTCCAGCATTTAAGCTTCATCAAGTCCGTCCACGCTGCATGTGCCAGCGACCTCATGTGATGCTTGTGATTCATTTTTACAACGTAACTACAGTGTTGAGATTAAAATGACGACTTGTGATTGTGCGTTGGACAGCAAACAAGCATATTTTGTGTTAAAATGTTAAAACTGTTTTAAACAAACATTCACACACTGATCTTTAACGCGGAGGTGCACTCACCCCAGCATAGAACATCTTATTCCTGAAACGACTGTTGAACTTCTCTGGGTTGGCCTCTAAAAGAGCGACAGACAGAGAGACAGTAAATCAATAAAACATTTCATTTACAAGTAGCATCAATATTAATTTAAACAATTCTAAGGAGCTTCTCAGATAGTATATAGTGCAGTTGTGGCCATTACCAGGAATATTTGTTTGTCATTGCTCTGATTATTAATATGAATGTACCTCTTGACTCGTGGAACTCCAGAGTCACATGGGCATCAAATCCAAGACTGAAGTAATTGTTGAAAACATCTAGAGGAAGCTGAGAGAGCAAACACACGCACAAAGATAAAACACAAGACAAGACCAACTTCTGATTTGGTCATGTCACCGTCACAAACTCCCAAAATTATACAGAGTATTGATTAGCTGGTTCACACAGAAGTTTTTCTCTGCTGTTTTTTGACTGCTTTTACCAAGATTATGGTAAAAACAATCTGGATTCTCAGAGACGACGGTGGATAAGAGGAAATAAATATCCTATGATAAAGGTGTGAGAGATGGGAAATTAAAAAAACAGGTGAAAGCCAGATTAATCATAACCCATTATGGAAATTATGAAGATTTTACTAAACAGTAGGTTAAAATGTTTATCAGGTAAATTAACATGTTTTGATTTTCTATTTGACTCTTTTTTAAAATTGTATTTCTGTGTCTTTTCCCTATGTTGCTTTTGTGTTTTATGTAAAACACTTTGAATGTCTTTGTTGTTGAATGTGCTATATGCTGTGCATGGCTTCAAGAGTGTATTGAATTACAAGCGAGCTCTGTCTGCAGCCAAAGCAGCTTATTTCTCCCTAATCAGCCACAATAAACACAATCCTAGGTTTTTAAACTTTCTCAAAAGCTGCCATCTGTTAGCTGCTCACCCTCTATGGCTCATGATTGTTTACACTTTTTCTGTAAGAAAATAGATGAGATTAGATACAAAATGACTCATCTCCAGTTACCTCTGCAGGCAAATCTTGAAACCATCTCTCTCTGACATTCTTCTAAACCAACCACCTGCCTCCTCGTTGCCCTACCAGCAAAACTTTTTAAAAGATCTCTGCTGTGGTAAAACCTTTACTTAAGAAATCTTGATCCATGGTCTCTAAATAATTTTCAACCTTCCGTTCTTTTCAAAAGTACTAGAAAGAGTTGTGTCACATATTTAACAGTTATCTCTTTGAACCTTTTCAATCTGCTTTCAAGGCCTGCTGCGTGCTGGTACTGAATAGATCAGCTTGCTGATGAACTAGGACAAAACTATTTTATTTTCTTCTTCTTCGTGCCCCCTTCCTGTGGAATAACCCCCTGTTGACATTAGACAGTGTGACTCTACTGGGGCCTTTAAATCCAAACTTAAAAATCATCTTGTAGCTGTTACCACTTGACTTCCAGCATCAGTCAGTCTCAATGTATCCATGTTTGTCCCGCTGACGAGTATATGGTAAATCTTCTGAAAACTTCACTTCTGCAACCCCGTTTGTCATGTCTCTCTCCCCCTCTCCCTATTTATTCCTTGTCCTATCTTTTCACTCAGATGTCTCTGTGCTGGACCGCTGGCGTCCTGGGACCTCTCTCTCTCTCCCCTGGCTGTCGGTGCTTCATTCGAGATATTCTGGATCTGGATCTTCGTCCTCCAGGAGATTCAGCCCCCCTCTTGTCTCTCTCTCTCTCCCTCTGTGTGCTCCTTTCTCCAACCTGTTCGAATGGTGTGTCGGCCCTCGTCCCACAATCGATTTATAATTTTGTGATCATGATTATCCATACTGTAATATCACTATGCTGGCCTATTCTGTATATGCAGTATCTACTGCTCGTCTGTCCTCTTTAACTCTTCCTGAAGTTTTTTTGGGGGAGTATAAAATTACCCAGATGTGCAGCCTCACAGAAGCAAGCGCATCAGAGACTTAGTTTTGCCTGGCATCCACTAACTTCAATGTGGATAAAATGATTTAATTGTGCGGCTCAAGAGTTTTCAAATGTTATCGAACTGAATGGATATGATTTTCATAGTGAAAAAAATTATCCACGGTTTTACAGCCACTTCTTTAAGTCTTCTGCGGCCAGTGTGCGTCACGTGACGGACCCGGTTTGGCCAATAAGTCACATTGGCTTCAAAGCATGGCACACACTCTGGGGGCTTGGTATGTGCACTGACCTTATCAGTTATTTGTTCTTCCGCTTCAGCCACTGCGCTTTGGTTTGGTTCAACCTGTAGATTCCATCTGTCTAGCTGGACAACCGCTCCATCCTCCACATGGGACAGGATCTTAGACAGAGGTTCGTCTGTGTAGCCCTGAAAATACATTCAGAGCTACATAAAACATACAGGTACATATGCATCTGCTGAGAACATATAGCTGTGTGAACCAACAGATTAAATGAAAAAACAAAGCAAATGCAGAATATTCAATGCAGCATATGAGGGACTCATTGAGTGCTGAATTAGAAGTGAGCCTGCAGTAGCTCAGATTTCCAACAGCTGGGCTATCTGGATGTACTAATTCAGTTTAGTTATGTGTCAGTGTGTTTTGTCAGTGTTTGCACGCACCCCTCCCCAGTTGAGGGTCCTGGCGAGATCATTTCCTGTTCCAAGTGGTAACACAGCAACAGGAGGGTGAGGGTTTAATGCCAGTTCATCAAGACAAGACAGGATCCAGCCCACCTGGTTCAACACACACACACACAGACGTGCAGATTTGTAGCTACAAGTGCTCATATCACCAGGTTTAATCTGCTACCTCCCAATAAATATTCATGTTTTAAACTATCCACAGTATCACAACGGTTTATTCTTTTTTAAGCTTCTTTGTATTTCTTAGTCTGCTCAATCACAACTATTTTCTGTCACTTGTTTCTATCCTCTCTGCAGTTTGTAGGGTGAATATTTAGTGTTATACTTTACAAATACATTTCTTATTATACATCTATGTGTATACAAATAGTCTATGTCTTTGTGTGTATTTCTACTCACAGTGCCGTCCCCCCCACAGGCCAGGATCCTCAGGTTGTGGACTTTACGATACAGCTCCAGGCTAAAAGATCGACAGATTGATACTGGTTAGCGGTCAAATCAGACCAGAATCACCAGTAGATGTTCACTGATGTTAATATGTGTGTGTGAAACAGAGACAGAAACCTACCCTTCCTTTGGTCCTCCTTGGTTCAGGTCAAACACCTGTCTGGGGTTCAGATACCACATGAAGGACTGCAGGATCTTAGTGCCCTGTCAGGCGGAGAAACCAAAAGGACATTGGAAGACTGGAACGTAACAAAACTAATTTGCAGGGTTAGGGTTAGCTAGGACTAAGACCATTTATTGATTGACTACAGTTGTTTACACACTGGCTGACTAATGAACTGGTTTGAGAAAAGGTCCCCTGGATTGTTCATGAATACCTGGTTTCCTCCACTCTTGGGATTGACAAACACCAGCAGTGGTTTCATCAGTGGTGAAGGGATGGGTCGGATTATAAATGGCTTCCACTGTCGTCCTTCCTGCCAGAGAAGAAGATGATCTACTCAGAGCCTGAATAGCAGAGCATGGTGTTCCTATACATTATGGAAAACTAACAGCTCGTTAGCCTTTCATTTGTAGATAAACACAAGCACAAATCTACCAGAAATCATGTGTAATCTCTTAAAATCCTTTACCCTTCAAAGAGTTTCAGAGGGTCACATACAAAGCAAAGAAACTAAACCACTGTGACGAGAACAACTTTGGGTGGACAAGTCAGATTTCCTCCATGGCTATGAGCAGAAAAAGTGGACATATATTTGATGTTTAGTGTACTCCTGGGAAGTAAGTTGCACGCAAATAATAAGAAGCTAAAGTGTCAGAAACAAAGAACCAAAACCACTATGAGGAGTATTTATAGAGAGAAAAGCAGTGATATCTTCTTGTTCTGCTTCTAGAGAGTCACAGAATATATCACAGGACTGACCTCTACTCCTTTCTTGCTGCTTTTCCTCTTGAACGATGTTCTCTTCTTCTTCTTACTCGACTTCATTGACGACTAGAGACACAAAACAGAGACAGGTTGATTTCAGGAAGAGCAGGGAGGAAGATGTTCTCACAATAAAAGGAAAAAGTGTTTCCCCTCATTAAAAGAAAAGTTGAAGTAATAGTATATTATTAACATCAACACATCCGCATTCATTATTAACATAATACATCTGTGTTGGAGACAGAGTAGCTCAGTATATCTTGATTCACACTGTGCAGCATATTAAGATAATGGTGATGTAGAGTTGCGGCCCGACGGCCAACCGAGCATGACTTTTGTATGTTAGCGGTCGAGGCTGTAATGATGTGGAGTCTTGCATTGTTTTCTGCACTTGAAATGTTTAGCTTTTGTTGTTTACACTTTCCATTGCTTACAGTGGGTGGGTGGATGTAAGTTAAGTATAAATGCAAATGGGATGAAGGACAGTCAATCATGTTTTCTGCTCTAAAGGTCCCATACATGAACAGGCATGTACAGTCTCGTGTACAGTGTTTGTAAAACACACTCGTGCGTGCATAATGAGACAGGTACTGTAGAGGGTAGGGTTAGGGTTAGTGGTTGTCTCTGACCCCAATAAAAACAAACACTCTTAGTTAAGAGTGACTAAAAGCAGTGTTACCTGATGGCGTCGAACCCGAATGATCCATGTGGGTGGAACTATAAGGGCAGCGTGAGCGCCAATTGGACAAGCCTCCTCAATTTGCTGCAGCATGAAGCAGGACACCTTGTTGTGATACTAAAGAGGGAAATACAGTAAATATATGTGTTTATTGAGATCTGTAGAATAGAAAGAATATCATTTTGTGGTAGTGCATCTTAAGTCAAGTCAAATGTCCCTTTTTCAAACATACTCACAGCCTGTTTGCACCAGGAGCAGCTGATGGCCACAATCTCTTTACTGTGGAAAGAAAACTTCTGCTGGAAACCCTGCACAGAAAAAAGAAACAGAAAGGATCTTGCGCTTCACTGCTACTTAAAAAAAGTATTTAAACTATCAGTTTCATTTATTTTATATAGTTAAAAGGTTACTCAAACAACTTGTAAGAGAGAAAGTGTTTTTACTGGACTAATAGTGTTGTAGTCAAGACCGCCCAAACCGAGACCAAGTCAAGACCGAAGACCAAAACCTTAAAGGGCTGAGACCAAGGGAGGCGAGACCGAGTCAAGACCTAGACCAGTTCCCCACATTACATGACATACAATGTAATGTGGAACGAGATCATAGGCACTTCTCAAATTGATCTGAAAGATCCACATTCCCATAAAAACGCCCACATACAAACACTAAGAGCTGAAATCAACATAAGCATCTTTATTCAACACTGTTTTTCCATGCTTACCATCGCGGGGAGGGGTGACGTTAATGGTAACAACACATTTTTAATTAGGGTTATTGGTTGCATTTGAAGCAAGAGTTTTACATCCAATGAAAGTTAGTAAGTTAACAAATAAATCAGACAATGCAAAAGCAATTTATTGATATTTTCCCAAAGTTATGGTCTTCACTGGTCTTGAAATAAAATACCGAGTCCTCAATGTCCGAGACCGAGACAAGACCGAGTACAAATGCGGTCGAGTCCGAGACAAGATCAAGACCATCAAAAAGTGGTCTTAAGACCGGTCTGAAGTACTACAACACGATGTACTAATGTTAAAGAACTCAAGTTATAATGAGTAAACATAATCAACATAAAAATAATACCAGAAGTACCACCCACCTTCCCACATTGTTTACATTTGCCTTCTTGCCGTCTCCGATGCACCCAGTGATGACGTGCCACAATGGGCTGAACACACACAAATGACAAAATTTGTTATTTTCAAATTCAAACACCTAACTTAATATTACAGTGCATCCATGAACCACGTAAAAATATGATTCAAGGTGAAGACAAAGTGAGGATTGTTGCTGTAGCTCTTGTAGTTTCTGAGGTTTCCCTGTTAGAGTGATTGTAAAACAGCCCCAGCAGCAGCACTGCCTGGACCCCCAACAACAATAAGTAGAGAGAAACTTCCACAACTCACCTCTCGAATGTTCCTAGAGGCTGATTCTCTGAACGATGGTTTACACCTGAAGTTAATCTGGAGGAGAGTCGAGAGGAAGAGAGGTGTGAACACTTAGATGATAACTGGGCTTTCCCAAACTATAGTACACTGGGTACTGTGAAAGGTTAGAGGGGAAAAGCATGGACCTCCTGAACAGACAGCTGTCAGCTGACATGAACACATCTGTAGAGCCATGATTGGAATGATTTCCAATGATCAGGTTGGCAGGTAGAACTCGTTTTAGGAGAAAGAAGCAGTGAAAGTGGGCTCCACATCCATGGGAGGCACCATGATTCCCCAAAGTGAAATGTCCACAGAAAAGAAAAACCAGGGTCACCCTGCAGAGTAGGGACACCACCGGACACTGTGGTTGCCAGGCTGAACACTGTTGGGTCAACCAAGCTGTTTTGTTTAATTGTTCTGGTTCATTTTGATGACAGATGATAGTTTGTTTCTTCACGTGGTGGTTCAGCCTTGCACATCACAGACGTCAGTGGTATCCACATTGTCATAATGATAAATGTATGTTAGTCATTAGTTTCACATGATTAGTAATTATACTATTCTTAAAGACGACTGTGGCTCAGGACGTAGACCCCTGCTCCTTGAGCAAGAAACCGCACCCAAAACTGTGCCATCGGTGATGGGGTGTGTGACTATTATCATCATAAACAGACTCATGTTGTTCTAATCCACAGAAAATATCTGAAAGCTTCCAAAGAGATCATTTATGTGTGTATAATGTGTACAAAATGATGTACAAACCATTTGTCCGTCCATGAATATTTCACTCAGTGGAAGCTGTACTGTGGTTTCACTACAGTGATACAGTGCAGTATGTGTCATACTGTCATTATGTATATTGAGTATTTTCTACTTAGCAATGTAAAGAAACTTCAAATCAAATGCTGGTTTAAGAATTGAACAGGTCGTGACCACGTGAAATCAAAAAATAAATCAAAATAAATCAGCTATAAACATGAAAGTTTGTTCTTTGCCATGGAAAAAGACAAAATCCTTGTTTACAGATAAACTAATTTGTAAACACTATCATTGAATGTGTATACCAATGCTGTTTTTACAGTTTCACAATAGCTTTCAGTTAAAAGTTTAAAGTCTATCTGCTGATAAAGAAAGTAGGACGTGCTTGTGACCGGTCCTGATCCCTCTGTGCTGTTCCCTCCACCGCCAGTTTCAGAAAGTGACCTCCCGGAGGTCTCCTTACCCTTTGAAATCAACAAAGCCAAACCCTTTAAACCTGTTAGATTAATTAGATTTAGACAGAAGATTCTTTGTGATTTAAGGAAATGAAAACGACACCTTTTATAATGATGCAAGACCAAAGGCGAAAGTTTTCAGAGGGTGTGTCTGACCTGGATTATATTTCAAATCCATTTATTCACTCATTCGTTTGAAAAGTGGATTATCCACAAACCACAAACACAATACATGCTCTATCTGTGTTTCCCATACACTGTAGTGTTTTTATTTGGGCAGCAGCCCCACATTCATTTGCCCCCACCAACAAAGACTTTTTGTTTACTTCTTGCTCCAAATAAATTCTCAAGCTGAGGGAAACACTGATATCATGTTGCGCTCTGGTGTCTTTATGAATTGATCGAAGTGAGGTCCAGACACCACCTTTGGTCTGTGGGTTTCTTTCAGAGTGAGGGATCGCAGGCGGGGAGAGAGGAGAGAAAGAAGGAGCTTTGTGTATCTCACTCTAAAGTTGGGGTCACTGAGTGGCAGGGTGGAATCCAACAGAATGGCTCTAGAGCTGGGAAACTGCAGGTTAGACAGGAGGGACAGTTAAAAACACCCTGTTCGGTTTCTTTCTGAAGTGCTGTCCTGTGCTTCACAAATGAAAATGAAGAGTTAAGTGAAACAAATAAAGACACACACAGGCCCAAAATACACTCATATACTCACAAACAGTACCTATAGATTGTGTATTAATTGTGTAGAGGTGTCAGAATGATGGGGCTGCTTAGAGGCTTGGTGCCTTCAGGAGCCAGGAGGTGAGCTGGCACCTCTCCGGCTACCAGGACAAGTTCCGTGTTTCAGTCTGCTTGGTAAAAATATCGGAATAGACGAGATAGAGAAATTACCTTTTCCAGTTGTTCTATGCACATGGTGTGGGCAACTATCTTACAGGCAGCACACTTCCTTCGACTGGCAGACCTTTGCTAGAATTAGGGGGTGAAAAAGAGGGGAGAACATGATCTGTTTTGAAAAATGGAGAGAAAAAAACCCAGACATAAAATCACAGTAACAAGGAACAAGGGGAAACTCCTTATTCTGAATAACTGTCATTTGTTTTATGATCCTCAGCAGCGGGGAGGGATCTTTGACTGAATATGAGGCAGTAATGTCATCTCTGACCACTAGGGGTCAGCCCTGTACTGCAAACAGTGAAATGCTCTTAGCTGAAAGCAGATGCGTTGAAATGATATGACATGATAGCGGATGACAAATGGCAACTTTGAGGGAGTGTGATGTGACAGGCTGGCCCTGTGTTTGACCTTGATATGAGCCGACCGGAGTAAAAATATAACGTGACAGGACGATGGTGGTGCATCCCTGTGCAAAATTATATTTTAGTAAATGTGCAGATCACAGAGGATTACCCTATACATAGGAGTCACTGTCACAGATCTCCCAGAGCACTTAGAGATGTCCCATTGACTTTGACATCATACAAAAAAGGGAAAATGCAGCGCAGACTGAGCCAGTTCATGGTTTGTTTTAGTTATCCAGCCTTTTTTTGCTGAATCATGCCATTTCCTTGCAGCCAGGTACACAGTTTTTTTAAAACTGGTCCAGTATTGAGTGAGCACGCTGCAATCAGCAGCAGCAAAACAAGGCCGCAACATAGTCCTTGCGGGCAATAGCGCCTTGTCAAAGTTTGTCCTCTAAAGTGTAAAGTGTCTGACAACATTATGGAAAGGATCCCTCCGGAGATAAACCTATTTTTTAACCAGAAACAGTCACTATATCTCTCTCATCCAAGCCATCAGACTGCATTGACAAAAACAGTAATTTAACCTCACAGAACACGGGGCTTGCTGGTCTCTGACTGCCTCGGTCGGTTAGTTTGTTGAGGAATTGTGTGACTTTGGTGTTTCCGTTTTTTTTTATAGTGTGACTTTGGTGTTCTGAAGTGTTAAAAACCATCAAAGTCACACAGATCAAGACAGCGCTAGACTAGAGGTACATTTTTCTTAGAACTATTATTAATTTTCTCTTTTTACCACTACCACCTTTACTGTTTTTGTATATCTGTGTGGATATAGTGTCGGGCTGCTTCTTCCTCTTCCTCTTACCCCCTTCTCCTATACTAAGATTCTGTAAAGAGATGTTGCTGATGAATTTTTTAATGCTGTGACCACCACAAACAAAATTACATTCACCTCCATTTTCATTTGGATGTGATTTGGACGAACAGGCCCTTTTTCACAAGTTGTTTAGTTAATGCGGCTATTTAAGGACCATGTGACTGAGAAATGTTGGCAGGTGAAGCTGTGTAAACATACATGAGACGCAAAAATGTAGGTATAAACGTTCAGTCTGATAAACTGAAGAAAAACATAACGAATGGGGAACTGATGCTTTCCCCTAACACACTTTGCTAAATCAAGATAGCTGCATATGAACATGTAGAAAATAGTGTTGCTGAGAACACAAAGAGGGAGAGAGAAGAGAGGGAGGAGAAGAACAGGAGGGCTTATCAGAGGGTGCTACTAACCAGCGCTCTGGCAATACAGTGTTGTTCTCCCACATAGCAGTAGTCTCCAGACACATTGGTCTCAAACCAGATATGATCTCCATACACAGCTGCCTCCTACAGAGACAAACATACAGCGAAGGGTCACAGGGGGACACAAACCGAGTAAAATTCACCTTTAAACCTGATTCACTGTCACACCTAAAATGATGATGCATCACTTTGGCATTTATAATTGATAGGTTGCGGATGAGGTATAGATAGTGTTTGTTTAAAGAGTGTAAAATCTTTGTGAAACCACTGAAGGTAAATCACTGATGAAAGGTTGTGCCAGTCAAGGTTGACTCATATGTTTATCTGTACAGATCCTTGCACATGAATTTGTTCTTAAAATTTCAGCATCAGCTTTGTAGCGATTTCAGAGCTGCCCTATAGGTACGAGGCAAAGTAAAGCATGGATAACATTTGTGTGTGTCTTCTCGAAGCCCTGTTGTGTCATACTGATACCGAGACTCACAGTCCAATCCACAGTACTGCAGATGTTTGCTTCTGGGTCAGTCCTGGTCAGAGATGATGTACTGGGCTGACTGGGCAGATCGTTCAGGCCAGACTTAGCTATCGCTTTCCTGGAAACACAGAGAGACAGAAACTTCTTAACAGTACAATTCAAAGAGGCAAGAAAATATTTTAATGTAAATCTAAAATTTCCAAACATAACCGAGATTTAAGTGTTTCTGAGTAAAATGAAACTGAAAACAGTTTAATATCTGAAACAAAGCAATTCCTAATATTTAAAAAATTCTACAAACATTGTTAACTGTTCCTACTCAAACATCACACCACTATGAGATCAGCACATCAAGTATATTCAAGAAGAATTTAACACCAACTGAACTGTGGTTTCCTTTTGTAAAGGTCATTCGTGCCTTTTAAAGGTTGTCGTCTCATGTCAATACATTCAAATTCAAAATAAACAAATGAAAAATTAGAGATTCAAATTCACATTTCGGGATGTGTAGCACTTACAGTAAAAATATCTCAGTTGCAGAAGCATACTGCTGGTTTCTTTTTTTGACACCACGTGGGAATCCCGCAGAAGTTTGAAAAATGTTATCGTGTAAATGTGATGCTCAATCTGAATATGTCTGTGTAGCTCTGATTTCTTGGGAATGGTGCCTCAGCTGGATGGAAGAGTTTGGATATCTGTATGCATGTTTTGAGCCGCTTAAACATAACTGTGGTCTCACCGTCATCCCCGCTGGACACTTCAAATGTTAAAATGATTGCGTTAATCCTTAATTCAGACTGCCAACACATATTGACAACCACAAAAAAGTGTCATCTAGTTTGGGCCTTCAAAATAAAAGCATGAAAACTGAATCAAAATTATGAATTTGATTCATTTGCTATCTCTGCACTTCATTATCGTACCTAATGAGTGACACATTTTACATTATACAGCTGTACATATCACAGTGTGCAGAGTGTGTCACCTTTCCATCATCACTACTTCACAAAGCTAGCCCTGTCATAATCGTGACATTTCAGTTGACTAATAAATTAATACAAATATTAAGTATTCTTCTGTGCATTTCATGCTACTGTTTAATATAAGCCTAATACCATGTTTACTCAAATAAAAGCCGGAAGTCAAGTAAAAACCACTCTCAAATAAAGGCCCGGGCCGTGGTCAACACAAACAAAAAAAGTTCAGTACCAAATATATGGTGGGTAAATTCCTGGTGCGTAATGTACATTTGCATTGCTTTAATTTAATAAATTCAACAATATAATCATGCTTGTTCTGAAACTGTTGTGTAGGCCTCATAGACTGTATAAAAGAAATGGACGTAGTCATCGTGACGTCACCCGTTGGTTTGTGGACTTCCGTTTTGAAGCCTCGAGTTTGGCCGATAGAGCGCCGCGTTGAGTTTTTGCAACCAGGAAGTGCCCGGAAGTGACGAAAAGGCGGAGCTCACAGCCGTGTGCGGAGCTCGCTAGCTTGCTTAGTGCCGAGGGTACGAGTCGGCCCTAGCCTGATTGACAGGTCGCCATGGTAACGACTTGTCAATCATAGATAATCCCGCCCTGAAACGTACTCTGCTTTGTGGTCTATTTTAAAATAAATGGGACCATAATTTACTAAATGAACATCATTTTGTATTGAAGAAGACTTGAAACTAGCGACCGAGACCATAAACCCATCAGGAAAGTGTTTACTTGGGTAATTATTCAGCTGAGAAGTAGGGTCATTTTCCCATTATTTCTAATGGAGCCGGACTTCTTTTTGCAACCAGAAGAGTTGCCCCCTGCTGGATTTTCAATAGAATGCAGGTTTCAGGGACTTCCGCATCAGCTTCATATTGTAGACCGGAAGCTTCCCGCTTGATGGCCTACCAATCATAACAAAGTAATTTGTTCAAAAGTGTTAATTAATGTAGAAGCACACTTGATTTTATTTTCAAAAGTTAATATGCAACAGGGAAATGCAAAGCCATCTATTCCATCTAAGCATTTTTATGAGAATTATTAAATTAGAAAAGCTGGATGGAAGCGACAAATTCAATAAAACCTCCAACACTTTGTTAGAAAAAGGTTTTACACTCGCTTCAGGTGAGAGTTTGAGACATATAGATGATGGAACCGCTTTTAAATCATATGTAGTGAATATCACACGACAGATTTGGCTCTGTCTCCTGAGCTGAAACTAAAAAACCCAACAGCAGTACAGTCTAGCACATGGGAACTTCACGCTCAGGTAGATCGTTCATTTGTCTCAACCCAGCTGATGAAACGACCTATGTTGTTGCAACGTTTTTAGCATTGGCTTAAAATTCCCCTGATTGTAGAATCCATGCAAAATGATTGCGGTCAGCTCAAATAGCTGCGATCAAGCAATCATTTGTGACAGGCCAACACAAGACATGTCTAAATAAACCTGGGCGACAGAGCGCAACAGTGACATTTTCTATCCATTCTTTCTGAAAATATTTCGAGCTGTGACACATCCCAGCTCACAGTGGGTGAGAGGCAGGGTGTGCCTGGACAGGCGATGGGCCTATCACGGTGCTGACACCATTCACATTTACACTTCTGAGCAATTCAGTTACCAAAGCTGTATGTCTTTGGACAGTGGAAGCCAAACACAGACATGAGGACAAAAAGTCTGGAATGCACAACGTATTTTAGTAAAATACTGCAATTTCATGTGATCCGCATGGTGAATTTAAGCACTGAGATTGCCACCTTTACCAGCAAACTTGCTCCCATCCTGACTGACAAAGTGCAAATACAGTCTGTTCAAACTACTGCACAGAAAGTGTTTTATAGCCTTTTCTAAAGTTTCACACATTTTAAACAACAGCAAAATGTGAGCACTGGATTCCCACTGGTTCAACTAAAATGGCACGCTTCGACGAAAAATTCGCCCTTAACGTAAAAGATCTACACACTTTATCTGAGAAGCAACGAGCCCATAAGTAAAGAGGGAAAGAATGGATATGCGTTCAAACTGTGATATAACCCGAGTGTTAAATTTCATTGTAATGTAACTGCCATCCTGTGTCCTAAGTATGAAACTTTGGAGCAGCACTCAGGACCAAAGGATACAAGGAGCAGCTGATGAGAATCCCATCCCGACTGAAGACTTAGAACAGACACTGTCAGAACATCTAGCCAGACGTCATTACTAAATGAATACTGCACGCGTTGCAGGAACATTTCACGCCAAATGATGCAGAAAGTGTCTATTTGGTAGCCATGAATTTTATAAATACTTGCATACAAATGCAAAACCAGTACAAGAACAAATACGCTGTGTTATCCTGCGTGTGTGTGTGTGTGTGTGTGAATGTGTGTGTGTGTTACATACGACAGGAAGTTCTCCCATGTTTCCAGATAAGGATCATAGTACATGCTTCCCTCTGGTCCCCCCAGTGGTGATGAAAAGCTTTTATGGATCGTAGACCCAGTTGAGGCCACATCTGTGTCAGGCTCAGAGCTCAGACTGGGGCTGGTCGTGGAAGTCTGGATTGGATTAATTAAAGCACAGTGACCTTGACCTGACCTTCGTCGATTATATCGACCAAATACTCCGTAACCTGATTCACTGCTCCGAAACACAGAGTCTGCTGGAAGGAGGTGGGAGGAGTTTCGTCTCAGACAGCGAGGAGGGCGGAGCAAGGGGCGGTGTGCGATGTTTTCCAGAACGACCGCCTGGGTTAAGTGCATCTGAGCTGTTGCATTTTTTGTTCTGTTCTCCACGTCTTCATCACTCGCTTCCTCTCCATCTGACTCAGAGTAGGAACACAGGGAGCCATCAGGTTCATCCTCTTCCTTCTCTTTACCTCCTCTGCCCATCTGGACTACACTCGCGAGTAACATGGAGGATCCAAGTAAATGAGGTTCAATGGATTTTACTTTAGAAGGACGGCGGTATCGCACCGCCAGCCCGCGGTGTATGCAGGGGGCGGTGCCAGGAGCTCCATGAGCATGGTGAGGTTTATATGGAGATCCCCTTCTTCCTCTCTTGATGGCTATATCTGCTCTCTCACCTCCTCTTCCAGACTCTCCCACTGAGTTTGTTAATCCTAGCTCTATAATTGACTGTCGCTTCTGTCCACTGGCCACCAGTAAGCCAATACTGGGGCGCCTACGTTGGTCAGGTACTGGAGGTAAACCAACGGAGGAGCGTCTGGACTGTAATAATGCTACTGAGGGCAGACCGACACTAGAGCGCCTCCTGGCTTTACTGCTCTGAACAGCAGGACCCGACTGATGCACTGCAGCAGGATGCTTCTGTCTCTTTTGGCGGCGGCAGAAATGGCGTTGGAAGAACAAATCCATCCCGTTACTCGTACAGTGCCAAATGGAAGGTGCTAACAATTATCTGTGGCATCTGATAAGACATGGGTGAAGAACATAGCACATTTTCCCTGTCTTCTCTGACACCAAGCTACGGGTTTCAGGTCAGATACTGGTTTACATGATGTTTTAATATCCATGCGACGGGAGATGGTATCAATAAAAAACCAGAATAAGATCATAGTCCAGCTCCTCTCCCGCTCTCCAATCTTCCTTTAGAGCTGCTGGAGGGGCAAATAGGCTTTTCTGTTAATTAAATCTGTTCCCTATAATGACATCAACATAAGTAGTTCCCTCCAGGGAATAAATCATTAATAAACACTAAAACAGGTCAATTGTTACCATGTTTAATAATTTTAACAGCTGTTTAATTCAGATCAATTGATCCCTGATGCAGTGCTGCCTGGTTTAAAGTCACTCAAGTCATCAAAACTGGTATCAACCGGTGGCCCCTTCATTGATTCCCTCAACATTCACAGTGTGGTTGATTCATTTACTTGTTGTTTTACAGTGATTAGTGTCACTCGTGTAGTGTCATTGCGGCATACTGTGACTTTTGTCCTGTATGTACACAGACATTGGAGCCAATCCTCATTAATAACCAAGATACCTGGACAGAACACAGACAAATTATTTCTACTCAAATGGTCCACTCACTAGCTTTTTCAGAGCTTTCAACCTTCTCAAACCATTTCTTAATGGAAACCAATAGCTCCCAAAAATGTGTGTTGAAGTTTGAGTCACACACAGGCAATTCTGCTTCCTTTTGTGCGATTTAGTCAATTCGGTTTCAAATACAACCTATATAATGCACCTGCATACATTCAAACTGAATGTGAAAAACTTACAGGCGATGCTGCATTAGCAATTAATTAAATGTCATGTGATGTAGCTTTAACCTTATTTAACTCATAGTTTTGCTTTTATTTACCATTTTTGGTTCAGTCTTAATAAACTTTTTTCAACAAAGAAGAGCTCGGATAAACCTGCTGTATTCTACCGGAGACAGACAAAATCTGAGACTACTTAGGAGACATAATGGAGCCTTTACTGAAGCTAAAGAGCCAGATATTATTCTCAGGACTTCCTCGAGACATCCATCAGGCGGACACAAACACCCTCCAAAGAAAAGCTAACGTTGCTTTTTGGCTACTGAATGTGTAAGTAGGCAACTGTTCACTAACATGTTGACAACACAGCTTTATAAGATGACCCCCCCATATTCCAAAAAACTCAATTAATGCTGCAGGTCAGTAGGAATCAATTAGACTGGATTTACTCATCTTGACACAATGTCACTTTTTGACAGGCGGATATCCAGACATGAGTTGACTTCCTAATGAGCTAAAGACTGCGTGAAATATAGAGAGATGAGGAAGCAAGAAAGATGAAACCGAAACCTAACCTAATGAGCATTTGAATGTCGTTATGTGCTAAAACTATAAAGAATAATACTCTGCCGATAATCATAATTTCAGATTTCTTGCCCTTCTGGTGCTTTTAATCTTGCTTTTCACCTCGGCACCTCTCCTTTCCAACATTTATCTGACAACACAGTCGCACAACAGTAATCTATAAACACAAAAAAAACAAACTGAGGACTCTGTGTTGTGTCTCATCACCATTATATATACAGAAGATGGAACTTTATTTATTCAAAGGGAAAATGGTGTGCAGTAGTTGCAGTACAAAGCAGGAAGAGAGCAAATATAAAGATTTCATGATAGGCAGTGGCAATGCAAATACAAATGCACTGAACTAACTTTTAGTTCCTGATTTAGCTCTTTCTGTGACTATCGGGGCAAAAAGGCCCATAAATGTTCCGGGTTTAGCCAGGGACACGCTCCATTTCTCTTCATTTACCCAGGCTTAAAAGGTGTTTTTCTTTTCTTATAGTGTATATTTCTCTCTCTCTCCCTCTCTCTCCTCCCCCCAACCTGTCGAGGCAGAAGGCCCGCCCACCCTGAGTCACGGTTCTGCTCAAGGCTCAAGATTTTTCTTGCCTGTGTCGCGGAGTCTTTGCTGTTGATGGGCATTGTTGTGTCTCTGTAAATAATATTACAAAGACTAAGGTCTAGACCTTCTTTGTAGGAAAAGTGCAATGAGATAACTTTTGTTATGAACTGGCACTATATAAATAAAACTGAATTGAGAAGTATATATCTGTCATTTTTAGCCCGGAGGTATTTGGTGTCCAGAATTAGTTGAGTCAGAAAGTATTAATTTATGCTGTTGCTAGCAGATCTCTGAGCTAAAGTTAAATAGAGAACCGACCACACCATCTTAAAGTACACAGCACATTAGACCAAGGCCACAGATTTAACTACAGAGCAGCGTTATCCATTGATTTTGCATGGATTAAGAGATGCATAGATTAATAAAACTGTAAATTATTTTACTGAAGTTACTGGCTGAATAAGATGTCTTGGGAGTTTCTGCCATGCATGTTAAGTATATTTCTGCAGTGCTTTTGTATTTTTATTCATTTGTTTCAGGTTTATTGAGCAGGGAAATTGCACGCTATAAATACATAAATAAATGTATCAATTGCCAGAATCAGCTGTTTTACTTCTGCTGTCCCTGGACTGGTGGTCACAACAAAAAAGGATGAAGCTATAAATAATACATACAGATTTACACCAGTACAATAAAAGCTCATTATACTAATGCAAAAAGAAACAACTACAAAGATAAAAACAAGAACAGTTGGTCAACATCAAGCACAAGCACACACAAGGTATATAAACATACATTTTTGGTAGACGTGCGCAAAAACAACATTGTTGGGACAGTCGTAAGCAACAGGTTTAGTCAGTCTAAACAATACTGAACTAGATAACATCGAAGGCAGAGCACAAGAAGCACAAACGAGACGAGACAGCAGCAGGATTTAGTGTCTAAATATAATGTGACAGTGCTGACTGCCTGTTAGCCACTTCAGCAGCCATAACTGTAACAGCCAGTAGAGTGAGTAACTTTTCCTCAACGGGACAATGCAGTCACCTCTTGCTGCACTAGAGACAACATCTTCAGTGAGCAGAAATGTGTGCCTACAGACCGTCGCAACCAGCCTTGACACTGCTGACCTTGAGTGTTCGCTAGGGGGAACGGAAAAAGAGAGTCTAAAGAAAGGAAGCTTTCATATTAGAAACGTTTCAATTTTCAGATGTATTAATTTCCAGTTACAGGAGCTACTAATCCTGCAGATGTAAATTTTTCTCTTAGATCGTCTCCTTCTTCATGTTTCAAAAAGTCCACCTGAAATTACTGGATTTCATAATAAGGCTCCTACAGACTGGAAAAACCTTCCAGCTTCTCTGAAATCTCTGCAGTGTTTAGGTTCATTTAAAATTGCTCCTATCACTCACCTCACAACAGGCTGCTCCTGTTAACTGTCACTATTCGCCGGTGTGGGTGTCTAGATTTCGTGGTGCGTGCATGCTGCGTGAGTGCGTTTTGGTTTCTTAGTCAAATGCTAACTGTAACCGTGTCTGTCATCCTCTCCCACGATGGACAGTCGTGGACTGTGAAACCATCCAACTCTTTTTCTGTTGCGTTTCCTCCTGCAGAGCAAAATTTATGGTAAACATGATGAATGGTAAACATTTGAAAAGTCACAGAATGTTTCCATTGATCATGTTTTAAGCTGACATTCAGCTGTTTCTCTATGTGGTTAAAATAGTGGGAAGGCCTGCTCCATATTTGTTTCTAGCTTTACCGCTGAACTTACAAGAAACAGAATGACTGAGAAAAGCCCACACAGCAGACCACACCGCCACAAACTGACCTACGACAGATACCATAGCTAAGAGAACGGGACACGTAGCGTGATATCAGTGCTGTTTGAGTGTATGGCAGCAGAATAGAACAGCATGCAACACGAGACGTTAAATGAGAACAACGCAGGACAAAAGCATGTGCAGCTGAGAACCGTTACTGAAACCGACATACAGTCTAACAGGAAGTCCCATCACAGAGAACCATCAGCACACTGAAACCTCCGCTGTTCATTTAATTCCACCTCTGACATTTAACACAGGCAATGTGCTAATGCTCTATCACAAAGATCAAGGGTTATCACAGTGATGACTGGCTTTCATAAAGCCACACAGCAAAGCTAACGGCAGTCATACTCTGAGATGATTTCTTCAGATAAAGCCATTTTATTATTATTTCTTTATTACACTGAGGACTTAAGGCTAGCTCACTTTAGTAACTGTGGTCACATCGCACTTTCCATTTTCTATTCACTTTCAAACACGTGGTAAGGAATAACTACCTTTCTGTCTTTGCTTCCTCACTTCACTCCAAGTTCAAACTTGTCCAACCACTGCTCTCACCCCGTTTGTTAAAACTGTACTTTAGTTGATTAATTTCATAAGATATAAGCCAAAAAAGTGGCTGTATGATTGACTTTGTTTCAGTAAACCGGAGATCAAATATTTATCAAATGTGGTTAAATGTTCTGGGAAGCCCTACTTCCCGACATCACTCACACTGTCACGGCCATATTTGTTGCGGGGAATTAAGTGTATATTTTTTGCACCTTCCCAGTTTCCAGCAAACCAGTCGATTCTTCAGTAAGACAAGATGCATAAAGCAACCAGCAGACCCCGCTTGTCACAGATTCTCGTACGCACAGCACGTTATGACGGCTGTATTAGCATATGTGGTGAAGTAGCTGGAGTCGTTTCTGAAGTTTGTATGTGGCTTTTTCCACAGACCACTAACTGACTTCTCTGAGCAGCTGCATTGTAGTCAGTCCCTATTGCCTGTTGGTTGCATTTACTCTTGGCTTTTTTAATTTCAAATAAGTTACCTGAACCAAGATGCATGAAGAGGTTGACTGGAGAAATGCAGAGAGTACATAAATACATACTGAACATACTCTACATACAGTACATACTGTACATTTTTTATAGAACGGTCAGGACAGAAATCTCAAACAAATGTTTAAGGTGTTAAAGTTGCCCAGCAGAGAGTCCTGACAAGTAGATTTTTACAAGATAACATATCTGGTTGGAATGATTTACTGTTTTATTATCAGATTTTCATAAACTCTCAAATATCAAAAATCGGGAATGAATAAAAATATAATTTGTAGTGTATTATATTAGTAACGGTATAGTATTATATAGTGTGTGTCTGTGCACACTTACTTACTTCCCCACTATTTAAAACAGTTTTTTCTGATCGTTCCCTCTCTCTCCTTCCTCTCTCTCAT